GCCCTATACTCCCACAATGCCCCAGCCCACACGTAGTAAGCTCGACTGGGCAAAGATAACCAGACCTTGTGGCTGCCAGATCTAGGAACCAAGTGTAAAATTTGTCTATAAGCTATAGCAATGGCTGGCTGGGGAATTCTGGGAGTTGAAGTCCACTCATCTTAAAGTGGCCAAGTTTGGACAACACTGATCTATGCATTTTATACTTAATTATATCCATTTACTAATTCTATTCTCCCCGCACACACACACACCCCAAATTATATCAGTAGAAGGATGGGTTTCCTTTTCCTAAGAGAAAATAGCTTTGGAATAATTTTTTAATAAAAATAATTTTTTAATTAAAAGTATTTGGATAATAAATATTTTCAAAGAAAGGGAAAAAAAGAAAAAATACAGCAAAGTAAGTTTTGAAGAAAAGAAAAAAACAGAAAAGAAGAGAAAAAAGAAGAAAATAAAGACAGAAAGCATGAAATGTATATATTTCATATATATGGCTTCCAATATTCCTCTTGGCAGTTATACATACAATTCTAATCAAACCACTCTCTCCGATTTCATCATAATTCCCTTCTTTCTATAACCTATTCTTTCTAATCATCAAAACCACAAACCACAAAATCATTTTCTTTCCCACGCAAAAAGTTCATAAGGGGCTTCTGCTCATTGATGAATGTTAGTAATGACCCTTCTCTAATCAAACAAGTTAGTTTGTCCATTTCAGCAAGTTCTGTCAATTTCACCAACCATTCCTCCACAGTGGATAGTGCCAAATCTTTCCACCTTTGTGCATATACGTAATAATCTCAGCGCAGTAATCATATATTGAAATAATATTCCATGGTTCTTTTCTAATTGTTTATCCATCAATCCTAAAAGGAAAAGATCTAACTTCAACTGAATATTAATCTTTAAAATCCTCTGTATCAATGTAGGAATTTGAACCCAATTTGTTTGGCTTTTTTACATGTCCACCAAGCATGATCAAATGTTCCTTCATGTTGTTCACATTTCCAACATACATTTGGAATGCCTTTATACAGTCTAGATAATTTCTCTGGTGTCATGTACCACCAATACATCATTTTATAAAAATTCTCTTTAAGATCATAACGTAATGTAAATTTCAACCCTTTCAACCACATATTTTCCCATTGATCCATCTATATATTATAACCAAAAATCTTAGCCCACTTTATCATACATTTTATCTG